TAAACCTAAACCTAAACCTAAACCTAAACCTAATCCTAACCCTTAACCTAACCCTAACCCTTAACCTAAACCTAACCCTTAACCCAACCCTAAAGCTAACCCTAAAGCTAACCCTTACCTTAAGTTGAATCGGCTTGCTTTCAAAGCGCTATTTAAAGCGCCCTTCTTTCTCCGCGCTGGCTGTTGTCGCCCTGTTGATGACGTCAGCGACGCGGTTTAATCGGGCACGGCTTAGTCTAGCGCGGTTTTGACGAATCACACTTTTTAAAAAATCTATTAGAAAACTCTGTGGAAAAGTCCACAAAGACGCCAGATGTTGAGCTCAACCTGGGGGAAAAAAATAATAATAAAACCTTGACTTTTTAAGATGCACGACAGTCTCTAAAGCAAAGAGGCCACTGATAATTCCGTTTATTTATTGAATTGTTCAACTCATGCTCTGCCCAATATTAGGACCGCAACAATTGCAAATCCCAAGCTTTGTAGGCTAAACAGGAAAAAAACGTGCCAGAAAAGGTGTGGGTGTATCAAGTCGCAAAACCTTAAGTAGAGAACAGACAAGCCCATTTTCATCCTGGTTTTTTTTTGTGTGTTGTGCTTAAAATGAGGATGTAGGAGTTTTGGCATAAAGCTCTCTACATTTTCTAGGCTTTTTTCCATACAAATATAAATTTACCTTTCAAAGGAAACAGGGGCTACATTGAAACTTCCTAATATGTCCCCCCTCCCGTCTTGTGGATGTGCAGACAGGTAGTTCTCAATTTACATAAGTTCATTTAGCGACCAAAGTTACAACAACATTGGGGGGAAAAAGTGACTTATGACCGTTTTTTCCCCCCCACAATTAAGAACCACTGCAGCATTCCTATGGGCACGGGGTCAAAATTTGGACCCTTGGCAACTGACTTGTATTTATGACAGCCGCGGTATCCCCGGGGGCGGTGGGAGTGTCACGTGGTCCTCATTTTGTGACCTTCCACACTGGTTTCTGATGAGCAAAGTTAATGAGGGAAGCCAGATTTGCTTAATGCTCATGTCAACAGTGGTGATTTCTTTTTAGATTGACAGGACGCTAGCGAGAGCTTTTGAGTGAGGGTAGATCAACGCCTCAGGGGCCCAAAGCATGCACTATTGTGTGCGCGCCCACCCCCATAACTTAATGCCACCCCGCGCTGTGTCCCTGTGCATGTGACCCCTCCCGGCTGTCCCACATAAGGCTTTCTTGGAGCCTGGGGAGGGTGAAAACGGCCTCCCTCTCCCGCCAGAGGCCGGAAATGACCCATTTTCCAACTTCCTGTGCTCTCGCTAGATCCGTTTTTCGCCCTCCCAAGGCTCCGGAGGCTTTCTAGGAGCTTGGTGGAAAACAGCCCAATGTGCAAACCGAAAGTCCGTTCTCTCTGGAGGGCGAAAAACAGCTGAAAATCAACTGGTCAGAGAGCACATGCGCGCTGGAGCTGACGGGGCAATGCCTCGCGGGCCCTCAGTAATGGCTCCGCGTGCCACTTGTGGCATAGCTTCGCCATCACGGGGGGTAGAGCCTGACCTGAGTTTTGGTGCATGCTGGCTCTAAACCTCTAGCCACAACTTCCTGCCTCGTTTCGATACGGGCCGTCCTCGACTTAACGACTGAGGCCAAAATTCCTGTTGCTAAGTGAGACACCTCTTTTGCCCCATTCCACGACCTTCCTTGATGCGGTTGTGAAATGAATCCCTCCAGTTGTCCAGTTAGCCACGCACGGTTCTTAAGCAAGTCTGGCTCCCTCACTGAGTCTGCTTCTCAGAAGGTCGCAAAAGGAGACCCCAGAGACACTGCAACCGTCATAAATATGAGTCAGTTGCCAAGCATTCGAACTCTGATCACGTGACCACAAGGATGCCGCCATGGCCGTAAGCGTGGAAAACGGTGCGTAAGTCACTTTTTTGAAAGCCGTTGTAACTAAATGGACTGCGGACTCTACCTAGTAATTTGCAAACAGGGATCTTGTTGCATGATTCAGGAAGCAGAACTGAAGTCAAGTTTTATTCAGGCCCTTGCAGAACTTCCCCGAGGACCATATGTTTTAAAATCCCCTCGTCTTTGGCCTTTAGCCATGTTTCATAGCGGGCATATAGTGGACTGGGCAAAGAAACACCACCAAGGAAACTGTCAGAGGGCACACGGCTGCATCATGCACAGAAAGAGCCAAAAAAGTACAGCAGGAGATTTGTACTTTCATACTTGCAAGATTCTGTCAATGCGGCTTTACAATAAAGTTAGCATTGGATCATCCTACCTGGTTTAGCCCACAAGAACTGACTTGTTGGCTACAAATAACAGGAAGTAGGAGCCCCCTACCTCCTAAAGAACAGGGTCACTGGGCTGAGAACGGAAATTATATATGAGTGTAGGCCTTTCTACCCAACACATTCCTGAAGCCAGCCGCCTTGTGCATCTTACACAAATCCAGCAAATTTATATAACCTCCCATTATTTTGCAGTTTTTGTTAGGGTGAAGGAGGAGGAGGAGGTAAATTGCTTAGCAGAATGAGGCTGTCAAAATGTATAAACAAGAGAAACGGAATTAGTTAGGAACTAATTCCCAACTCCGTTTCTTTTGAAAGTACCTTGGCAACTAGAAAGTTGGTGCCTTCTATAACCCCCTCAATCATGCCAGAAATTCACAATGACACAGGTTCTATTCCTCATAGTGCTACCTTCCTGGAGAGCCCACACAAAATTAGTCCTATGAATTAGCACACATACACACATGGGTGCGAAACACGGGGGCTTTAAGCCCCCGAAGACTGCAAAAAAGCAGGATCCTATGATTTTTGTTTTTCCAAGTGTGATTAATCAAGCATATGAAACCTCTGCATTTCATTCGGGCGTCCACATCTCCAGGCATGTCTACAGGCAATCCTCATTTAGCGACCATAATTGTTGTTCGCTAAGTGAAGCAACTGCTATGTAAAAAAAACCTTACGATCTTCCTTTCTGCTTTCCTTTGATTTACAAACCTGTTAATGGTTATGAATGAAAGACTAGTCACAAAAAGATTGCTATTTCATTTTTCCCGTCGTTAACGACGAAGGGTCGCTAAAAGAGGCAGTGGCTAAGTGCCATTCTGGGGTTTTTCCACCAGTCCTGCATGTCCCAGTTCTCCTCCTTGCCAAACCTGGTCACTCCATCTGAGTTTCGTGAATATTTGGGGCCTGGCGACTGTGGATTTTCTGGTGTCTCCGGAGGTATTTCTTCAGCCGGAATTGCTTCCCGCAGATGAAACATTTCTGGTCTCCCTCACTCAGGTGCAACTTTTGGTGCTTCACCAGGTATTTCCTTTGCGTGAAAAGCTTCCCGCATTTGGTACAGTTGCAAGGCCCCATCTGGAGGTGGATCATACGGTGCCTGAAAAGGTTGGTCTTCTGGTTGAAGGTTTTTTCGCACTCGGGGCACTGGTACGGCGCTTCCCGCGTGTGGATCCTTTGGTGCCGGATGAGGTTGGACCGCCGGCTGAAGCTCTTCCCACACTCGGTGCATTTGAACGGGTCGCTCAGATGCACCCGTTGGTGGCGGAGAAGCTGGCGGTTCATGCGGAAGCTTTCCCCGCACTTGAGACACTTATACGACCCTTCCATGGTGTGGATTTTATGGTGCCGGGTGAGATTGGACTTCTGGTTGAACTCCTTGCCGCAAACGGGGCAGGGGAAGATTTTCTCCGCTTTCGGCTCTTCCAGGACGACGGGGATATTTTTCTGGGGTCTGGCAAAGCCCCCGTCCTGCTTCGCAAACACGGAGGCCGGGCACCTTTGGATATTGAATATAGATGGCGGATTGGCGTTCTCCCCAATCTCTGAATCCGGGGGAAGGTTTGCGCTGGCTTCCTTTTTGATCCTTTGAGCCAGAAATGGGACGGGTTTTTGGCACAGCGCCCACTCGTATTGGGGGTGCCCTAAATCTTCCTCTTTGATGCTGATTTGGGACGCGCCCGCTAAGCAACTAGCATGTATTTCAATATTCTCCGCTTCCTCCCCCGGTTGGAATTCCAGAGGGAAATCGGGATATCTCTTTGGCGAGTGTTTTTGCTCGGCTGTGTCCAGGGATTTTCCCCCACGGAGGCTCTCCAAATGCAGAGCCAGATTTTCCTCCACAGAAAGATTCCATTCCGGACTCACCTCTATTTCCTTCTTGTTCTGAATTCCCCAGGGATTTTTAACCATCTTTGGATTGCCCGCAGCTTCCCAGAGAGCGTCTCTCTCTTCTGATGCCATCTGAGTTTTTGGGCCTTTCCTAGGAAAACTCCTCTTTGCTGTGTGTTTTGTTTGGAACCGGATTAATCGGTTGGTTCCATCACCTGGTGGTACCCTTTTCTCACTAGGGCCATGCATACAAATGAACTTCCTGGGAAGAAAAGTGTAACGATGAGGTCAGGTCCCAGACTTTTTTTCCCCCTACCCTGAGCCAGACTGGTTAACATTTCCTCAATATCCTTTTCATCGTGTTTGAAGAATGCAGACTCCGCCTTTTTATGGATTTTTGGAATTGACCTCGAACTCAGAGTAAAGGAAGACTTAACGACACATTTTTCAAGGCAGACAATTCTCAGAGACGCTGGCATATGTGCTGCATAGTGGAACGGAAGACAGATTTGCAGATTATCTCTCAATGCCAAAAACCTTGTTATATTTATCACTTGACATGCAATGCTTAATTTAATTTTCTTTTCTTTCCTCTTCCTTCCTTTCCTACCTTCCTTCTTTCCCTCTTTCTCTCTCTCTTTTTTAAGAAATGAAACAAAGTTTGCGCAAGCTTGCTCAAATGAATCTTTTCTTTTGACTTTCAGCTCGGATTTTTTATTGACATGTTCAGTCTTCCACTATCATAGACGAAGCCCTGTTGTAATCAACGTCACTGATATTTTAATCCTTGTGAACTTCTTCGGATGATATTCTTAGCCTCTACCTGTTTGATTGAAAACAAACAAACAAACACATTTTAAAAGGATTGCAAAATATCTGCAGCCTTTCCTGTTTTTTTTCCCCCCATCTTATTTTACTTCTCTCCCTGCATTTTCCTTTGTAGAAAATTATAGCTGGGGACCAAATGGGTTATGTCAATTGGGATGACATAACCAGCCAACTGTGGCTTATTTGGGGATATAATCACAATTTAGCTGGAAGATATTTGATTGATTTCCATGGGGCAAAAGTCCAGTGGGGTGTTGGTCAAAGAATCCTAGCGACAGTTAAGTAGTCCTTCATTTATGACCACAATTAAAATTTCCATTGCTAAGCAAGACAGCTGTTGAATTTTGCTCCATTTTAGAACCTTGCTTGCCACAGTTGTTAAGCGAATCACTACAGTTCTTAAGCTAGTAACCTGGTTGTTAAGTGAATCTGGCTCCCCCACTGACTTTGCTTGTCAGAGGGTCGCAAAAGGGGACAACATGACCCCAGGAGAAACTGCAGCCCGTCATAAATACAAATCAGTTGCAAACCTTCTGAATTTTGATCACGTCACCATAAGGATGCAGCAACAGTTGTAACGATGAACAATAATTCATCCGTTACTTTTTTCCAATACGGGTAGTCCTCAACTTATGACCACAACTGAGCCCAAAATTTCTGCTGCTAAACGTAAACTGCCTTTTGCCCCATTTCATGGCTCTTTCCTGTCACCGTCGCTAAGTGAATCGCTGCAGTGGTTGAATTAGTAACACGGTTGTTAAGTGAATCTGGATTGTCCATTGACTTTGCTTGTCAGAAGGTCGCAAAAGGGGATCACGTGATCCCAAGACCGTCATGAAAGCGAGCCACTTGCCTGAATTTTCATCAGGTGAAACAAAGGGATGCCGAATTGGTTGTAAGTGTGAGAAATGGTCATATGTCACTTTCCCCAGCGCCGTTTCAACTCTGAATGGTCACTGTATGAATCAGAACTACCTATACATTATTGAATCGCTGGGGCTGCCATCTTGACTTTTTTGACTTCCTGGTAGATGCCCCCATCTGGTTCAGTCTAGAAACTGACCCAAATATTTCCTAAAATTAATGCCAACCATATTCCCATGATCCTTCAAACAAGAACCTGACACCAGGTGGAGACTGTGGCCTTTTAGTGAATGGGGAAGGAAGGAGTGACCCATTGAGGTAGGGGGCTTGAAGAAGGGTTCAGAGAGGGCTGGGTGGGAAGAATTAATGTTATAAAGGTAGTCCTCAACTTACAGCAGTTCCCTTCGCAACCGTTCAAAGTTACAGCAGCGCTGAAAAAAGTGACTTACAACCGTTTTTCAGAGTTACGACCTATGCAGCGTCTCCGTGGTCGCGTGATCAAAATTCGATCAAGTGCCAACGGACTCATGTTTATTTAGTTTCAGGGTCCTGGAATCACAGGATCCCTTTTTAGCAACTTCCTGACAAGCAAAGTCAATGGGGAAACCAGGTTCATTTAACAACTGTGTTACTAACTTATCAACTGCAGCGATTCACTTAACAACGGAGGCAAAAAAGGTTGTAAAATGAGGCAAAATTCAGTTAACAAATGTCTCACTTAACCAGAGAAATTTGGGGCTGAACTGTTCTGAAAGGCTGGAAACCTTATACAGGTAGTCCTCAACTTACGGCCAGAATGGAGCTCCAAGTTGCTGTTGCTAAGCGAGACATTTGTTAAGTGAGTTTTGCCCCCATTATATGACCTTTCTTGCCACAATTATTACGTGAATAAGGCCTCCCCACTGACTTTGATAGGAAGAAGGTCGCAAAAGGGGATCACGTGACCCAAGGACACTGCAACCGTCATAAATCTGAGTCAGTTGCCAAGCCTCTGAATTTTGACCATGTGACCACGGGGATGCTGCAACAGTCATAAGTGTGAAAAATGGTCATAAGTCACCTTTTAAAGTAATGTTGTAACTTTGAATGTTCATTAAACGAACTGTTGTAAGTCAAGGACTTACGTGTATGGACTTTTTGTAAAAGAAAAAAAAGGAACAATGTCATGGTTTTTGGATTTGAAGTTTGACAAAAGCATAGATTAAATGAAGGAGAGAAAGGATGTATAATATTCACATCTATTTCTTAATATTTATCTGTTTGATTTCCTTCCTTTCCTCCCTCCTTCCTTTCCTTCCTTCTTCTCTCCTTCCTTCTTCCTCTCTCCCTCCTTCCTTCCTTCTTTCTTTCTTCTCCCTCCTCCCTCCCTCTCTCCTTTCCTTCCTTCCTCTCTCTCCCTCCCTCTTTCCTTTCCTTCTTCTCCCTCCTTCCTTTCCTCCCTCCTCCCTTCCTCTCTCCCACCCTCCCTTCCTCTCTCCCTCCTTCCTTCTACCTATATCCCTCCTTCCTTTCCTTCCTCCCTCCCTCCCTCCCTCTTTCCTTCCTTCCTCTCCCTCCTTCCTTTCCTTCCTTCCTCCCTCCTGCCTTCCTTTCCTCCCTCCCTCTTTCCTAGCTCTTTCCTTCCTTCCTTCCTGTCCCTCCTTCCTCCCATCTCCTTTACTCTATGAAAACATTCTTAATTAATACAGATTAAAAGGAGAAAAAACATGAGGTGTTAAACCAGCTCATAGCCTTTTGCCTAGGGAATGGCTGGGAAGGCCACATCCATTCAATGGCTTCAGTAAAGGCTGGGCTACCCCGCCAGGGGCTGCCCTTGAAGACATTATGGAAACTGGGTCAGCCTAAGCGCCGGAGGAGCGCCTTCAGACCCTATTCTCCCCCCCACCCTCCCAAGTGTTTGAGAGACGTCCCGACTTTAAGCAGCGATGCACTGCCCCAGATGGTGGGTGGGGGAGTTAACTTGCCCCCTTGGCAAGCCCAGCTCGTAGCTTTTATGGCCTGGCTTCGCTGCCACCGCATATGCCACGCTCACGCCCGCGTTCCCACGACCGCCGGAATCCTGTGCTTGGCTTCTCGTCTGAACGCGCCATAGTTGCATCCCATCCAAGAGGGAATCGCGGATGGCGAGCATGACAATGATGGGGGGGTGGGGGTGGCCTTCATCAAAGAGTTTGAAGCGGGGGGTCGAGGCGAATGCAAACTCGGGAGGCGGGTGGGTAGGAGAAGGACGTGGAAAACGGCCTTACCGAGCTCCGTGCGATCCTTCCGGGCGTTTGCAAAAGGCTCTTGCGATGACCAGCAGGAGGGGCCCCCGCAGTGAAAGCGCTGGGACATCGAGGGGTAGGGAAGCTGGATTGCAACAAAGGGAAGGCAACTTTTGCCCCGGGCAGGATCAGGGATGGGTGACTCGTACAAAGGGCGTCCCTGGGAGAGGGAAGGGGTGTCTCCCTTTGGAATCTCGCTCCCCCCACCCCCCGGAAATCGCTTTCTCCAGCAAACACGGTGGCATGCCAGGACATGGGCAAGGGCTCGGGGGCCGCAAGGCTTCCTGGGAATTGTAGTTCTTGTCCACACGACCCTCGCCCGCCCGCCCCCCCAACTTCCCCAAAGGAAGGGAAGCTCTGCGTTGCGGGGAAGGTAAATCTTCAATCCGCCTCCTACCGTGCGCAACGGAGGATACGCTAAAACCAACCTGTTTAATTTGTCTCGGGATACTCTGCGTCCGGTTTTGCTCGCCACGATATATTACAAAAAACACACACACACACCAGATGTTGAGACTCTGGGAAGATCTCGGAGAAGAGCCGCAAGGACGAATTGCACATTAACAGAGTTGGAAGGGACCTTCAGGTCATCTAGTCTAACCCTACCCCCTACCCCCCAGCTCAAGCGGGAGATTAGGGAGGATGGAGGCCAAAACGCACGGCGGTTGCAGGATTTCGGTATGTCTACTCTAGGGAAGTATGGCTCAGTGGCTAAGATGCTGAGCTTGTCAATCAGCCAGGTGGGTGCTTCGAATCCCTAGTGCGAGTGAGCTCCCGTAACTTGTCCCAGCTTCTGCCAATCAGTTCAGTTCAGTTCACTTTATTTGTATGCCGCCCTTTTCCCTGGGGGGACTCAGGGCGGCTCACAGTTCAAAAGGGGTGGGGGAAGGACAAACAATTTACAATATAAAAACATTACATCATTTAAGAACTCAACAGTCATACAATTCGAGTAGGGGTTAGAATCTTTAACCC